GAGCTACGGTTCTTTTGGTGTTAACCTACTAATTATACTCAGGGGTTTTGCTACGCAAATTGCCATAAAATTCAATTGCTTCATAATTACATTCAGTGGAGTGCGTTAATGACAGTAACATCATAAACATATTCTTGAGAATATTGGGTGAACATACTCCGATAATGCAATCAAAAGTCAAGTTCCCTCGAGAACTACACTTTCCAATTTACAAGATCGATCCATAGATTCAGCGTTTTTTTAAATTTATTTTATTTTATGTTATTTTTTGTTTCATTATCAGGGGGAAACACCTTCTAAAATTGACCGAGGCGTAAATAATTGACAAAAAGCAATACTCGCAAAACAGAGTGCTAGCTCGGCTTGCCGCAGTTTTTTTGTGAAATTTTGCTTCTGATGGTTTTCAAAACGCTTTGGTCGCGTGGTTTGTCGGATAGTGTGATATGACAAGACTAGAACTACAGTAACCATGGATACCTTTGGCGTAAGATGACGTAGAATGCAGGACAGGTGTTGTTGTTGCATTTTTGAGTTATTAAACAAACAAAAAAACTCTATGTTAGCTTACAGCGGGTGGCATGTTGCTCGCACCAATCAGATCGCTTATGGTATGTGTTTCAAGATCGGTTCAATCAACCGTTTGTATTAACATACGTCGTGACCAAAACATACGGGTGTAACTCGAACCTAGTCTAGTTAATCACTGGTAGAAATAACGTGCATATTGTAACATCCTCCCTTTTGAAAAATTCTGAAAAGGAACGACCAAAAAAAATGTCGATGTTAGTTCAGTTCGGAATGAATGGGTCCATAAGACAAATCTATCAGCTGGTCAGTTTGACATAAGACAATCAATAAACGATTAGCAATAATCACTATGATAACGGCAACAAAAGATATAAAGTCACGAGTCTAGTCACAGACATATTCCTTGAGGTATACAGGGCTCTTCCTGACTCGCTCTAACCTCCGACACTGTTTGGGACGGTCACCACTTTAGGGTGTGACTTATGAGGGGCACTCCTCTGATCAGCGGTAGATACTTTGGTTGTAGTCGCCTTTTCATCTCTACTGGCCCTATTCGGTTTTGGCTCTGTGGTGATGGGTTCAATGGGTGGTTCAGACGTTTTTCGCAGATGTTGTCGATTTCTGCGGTAGACTGCTCCGCTGTCCGTCTCAACGGTGTATGATCGCTCGTCAAGCCTTGCGGTGACTTGGGCCTTACGCCAAGACTTGTCGCTACGATTGGATGGCTTCATTCTAACAACGTTACCTTGAGACAGGCTGGATAGATCCTTTGCTGACCGGTTGTAGTATTTGGCTTGAGCCTGCTGGCGCTGTTGCAGCCCTTTCTTTTCACTTTCCAGGTTTATAGTCTTAGGCAGTAGTAGGCTCTGAGTTTTACGAAGGAGTGTCTTGGTCCTTCGGCTCATCCGGCGTTGTGCTTGGCTGAGTTGTCATTCCTTGCGTGGGTGTGTTTCTATAATCGAGTACGGCGAGGTATGGGTCGGTTCCAGCTCTGACTGATTTCTTCAGCATGCGCTTAGCTGTTTTCACCCCTGTGTCCGCCTGCCATTGGCCTTGCTATTTCCAGGGCTACTAGTAAGATGCTCAAAGTCCCATGTTCTGGAGAAGTTGATAAACTCGTCCGAAGTAAATTGCGGTCCGTTGCCACTAATTACTTGATCAGGTATGCCATAGCGGGCAAAGTGACTCTTCAGTTTCAGGATTGTGGTGCTGGCTGACAGCATGTCGGCCAAGTGCATGTTTTTGCCGCGCTCATAGTGAAATCGTATTTCTGTAGCCGCATCATCATTAACTGGAGGCGTCGCGGTGCTCGGGCAAGTGGTTTCTGTAGAATCATTTCCAGTGGCTTGTGGTCACCTTCGATGTATACATGTCGGCCGAATGTGTACTGGTTGAAACGCTCAAGAACGAAGACAATCGCCAGCATCTTCTTCTCTATTTAAGCGTACCGTGTTTCTGTATCGGTGAGGGAACGACTTGCGTACTCTATTGGCCTGCCATTCTGAAGTATAACTGCGCCAAGGCTGGCATCACAAAGTATGGTTAGGTTCTGTGAGGGGTCGTAGTAACATAGAACAGGCGCTTCGGAGGTTGAAGTTGTCTTTCCTTCTGGTTTCCTTGTTACAAGGGATTATCTTTATTCTGGCCATATATAGCAGTTACAAGTCAAAAAGTTATGCTCTAAGTTGATTTTGGAAACAATAAAAATAATCAGTAGTTTGAAGAAAAAGAAAGAAAACGAAACAGAGGAAAGAGTACTAGACTGAAACGATCGTTGTTGTTTACCGTGATTATTCACATAAAGTCGTCAACGTTCTCTTACGGTCTAACGTTACCATATGATGACCACTTTTTACCGCCAAACTTCAGGTCTTTTTTTTTTTTTAAGGTGATAAGCTCCATCAGGCGCACTTTATAATCCAAACTCTTTACATAGGAATGGGTCTAGTGTTAGATCTAATTCTTATCAGTGACTCTACATCGCGGGAAAAACGAGTGAACTTTCAATGATGTGAATCATAGTTCTGATTTCTTTTCTTTTTCTCGGCACGGAACAGGAGACAGGTAATACTCATTACGAACCTTTGCCTTCTCTCGTGATTTGCCCACCAACACTAACAGGACATTGGGTGTATGAGGTGGAGATGTTTGTCAACAAAGATGTCCTTAAACCATTGCACTATACAAGCCCGTCTGAGAGACAAAGGTTAGTTCTTGGACTCTGTTATTGTTCGCTGACGGTA